TTAAAGGTCCTTAAAGGTGACTCTTGTGAGCTTTAAGCCCTGTTAGAATGCTGTTACCTCCTCCACCTTGTATTTGTCATTCACACATGTTTGAGTGATCCAAAGCTCACGATTCGCAATTCAACCTTGTGTTGTCATGTAGCGGTAGTTTTCAAGTTAACAGCTACATTTTACCTTCAGTTCTGTAGAGACTGAAAATTCCAGAGCTGAAATCGTCCAAATGATTCTAGTGAAAATGTATGGAATTTAAAAACACAGTGGAGAACTTCCTGTATTATCACATGACATCACAAAGTGGAACAGAGCCTAAATAACTCAGCCTAAATATATGGTTTGCGTGTTAAAGATGTGTGAATGAAACAAAACAACTCCAGGTATGTTTGCGAAGAGGAAACAATATAACATAGATCATCATAGGCCCTTTAAATCTTGGAAGCAACTTGAAAAATTGCAGAGAAGCCCAAAACCACAAATGCTTATTACAATATTTTTTGCATTGTGTGTTGTCCCATTAATCATGCTCAGGGGTTTGATCTTGCACATTACATTGCCAAACTGTGATGACCAATCAAAGGGTGCTTACACATTCCATCCCCAGGCTAATTGAAATACAGCTTGACAACTTCCAGAGGTCATCGTTCAGCTCTTAACCACACACCCACACACTCAGCCTCTCTGCCTCCATAAATAAGAGCTCTTGCACGGGTTAGTGAACATGCCTGGAGGTCTGCTATGAGGTCCTCACACCCCTCCACAAAAGCACTGACCACCAACAACACAAGAAACAAGAGGAAGCTCCCACACAGAAACAGCAAAGTTATGCACAAGAAAGAAACTCCATAAGCGATTCAATCTTCTGACACATTTGTACAACGACACAATTTTGGAAAACAAAATCTAATTGCAGTTTTTAACATATGAAGTAGTGAAGTATGGAGATTGCAATTTGATATAGATTCAGACTGTTTAGGGAAAGCACCACGAATATCTATATCAATCTAACATTTTGCTGGTTCATTTGGGAGTTCGTTGTATTTTTTTTAACCTGACAATGACACGTTTAAAACATAAATGCAAAAACTAAAATCTAGCCACGTTAAAATTACTTGAATTAAGAAAGTTTCATCATGATTTGAGTAAATTTCACTTACAGTACAATTATCTACCGATGGAACAAGACTTTTTGTACTTAAATTATGAAATTATATCTTGCTACAGTTAAGATAAGAAAAACAACAACTCTTCACACTTAAAATAAGAAATCTAACGTTGTCTGAATTAAGAAATACACACTTAGTCCATTAGAGTATAATTTTACTTGTCAAGTTGAATCTCCTTAAATAAAGAAAAATGTTCTTAATTTAAGTCATTTTAACTTATCTAGATATTGATATTTGCAGTGTAGGATTCTGTTCTGAGTGCTGAGATCCAAACTACAGGTACAAGAAGATTCTATATTAAATACTATTCTATAAAAAGATTTCAGGATAGTTCTTTGCAGAGGACATTCTATCTTATATCTTCATTTAACCATTTGCAGCCTTTACAAATAGATAACTGCTCCAACTCAAATTGCAATTACAATCCGATTACAATACGTCACGCAAAACTCCATTTTTCCTGATAAAACCGCTGTTGACCTTGGCCGAAAAGCGCTTTCTAGAGAAACAAATGCAGACATATAACCTCTCATTGAACCCCAGGGGCAACATATCACAAGGCTCGCCAGTGGAACTAATAGACCTCTTCCTGAAAGCATCTCCAAAGGCAGCTGCAAGTGTTTGTGTACGTCGGAACAAGGGGAGCCAGTCTACGGATGGATTCTTCACATATAAAAGCATGAGTGAACGAGGGTCATGGCTGTCTGTTTCGCTATTTATTACTACACAGTACTACACTCTACGGGCAGGAGAAGTTCACAGCTGGGAGTGGGGCTTGTAAGGAAGGGAAAGCGCTACAAGACTAAAGAATGATCGGAGCAGACAGTGTGTCTCGCGGACACCTGGTTTACACATGAGCACAAAGCGTGGCGGTTATGGCTTCCAACACTTCAAAGCTGTACAAATGGGCTGTTGAATGTAGCCAAATTAATAAGGGAAAAGCACTAGTGGTTTACAATAGTGGACAGAGAGGTATACACAATGCTAATAGTGTATAATAGTTGTACTTGCAATTGAGAAGCCATGTCTGTAAGTAGGCTACATGTGTTTGGGGTTGATGTGGAAATTGGATGGAACTAACCTGTCTAGACACTAGGGATGTGCAAAAATATCAAAATATCAATATATTGTGTCATTTAATGTGATGATACAGTATCGATATATCACCAAGAGTATTTTTTGGTATATTTTACTATATAATTTTGTTACAGCGCTACAGTTTTGTTGATTGTTTAGAAAAAGGAAACTCGTTTTTGCGACACATTTGACATTTTCACTGTTTTGATGGTTAAATTGTGTGTGTTTCATATGAATTTTGCATAATAAGAGGTTTAACAAAGACTTTTAGTATCACAGCAATGATTTAGCTTTATTGAACTGTACTGAATCGATTTGAAATATATTGTATCAAATCAAGACATGTATCGTATTGTGGTCTATGTATCGAGGTATGTATCGTATCGGCAACTTCTTAATGATACACATCGTTACTAGACACAGGCAGAACATGCACACTCATATATGGCAGGTTATACTACAATTTCACTTCCTGGTAGCAGATATTACATACATATAGAAGTAATGCTCAAAGGCTTAAAGTACAAATGACAGACTTCCTGGAGTGACACAGGCAGCTGATATAACCCCCCAGACACTGGGAGAACATGCAAACTCCACATACCTTTAACCTGGTCTGTTTAGTTTAGTTTACTTTACTCTTCATTTGTCAGGAACCAGTGGAACCTTGGACTTTCTTGCAGCACTGGCACAAGCATCCATTGTAAGTGTAGAGTAATTATAGAGTAATTACTACTGTGATTAACATTTACAATTGTATAAGAGATAGAAATATAGCTGGAGGGGTGAACGTCTTGCGGTGGTCCCAAGCTAGAATAAATAAAGTAATGTAATACACAACCAGGGTTAGAATCACAGCAGATGGAGCTACTAAAGTGTTGATGTTGGACAAGGAGCGAGCTTTCCCTCTAAGTCCTGAACAAATTGGAAGTGGCCATAGATATAAACATAATGCAGGGAGCAGAGCAGAGCTGGTTGTCAGACATGACAGTGTCCAGCCGACCAGACAGGGGGCTCTGCTTTTGAGACTGTCCAGCTCCACTTAGTCGCTCCATATCTCTCCTATGGTCTGGTCTGGTCCACTGTGATCCTAGCCAGGTACTTCTGTCTATTCTCTGGCCTCATGCATACACAAAGAGGCACAACCGAGAAAACAGAGCCATACTGGGGCTGTCACGAGATCACATTTTAGTGTTACGAAGAAAATGACCAATTAAGTGATTAGGCACAATTACTGACACTCTATTATGTGACCAGCTTTATACAGTCAAGTTTTTCACGTTTTCTAGCTTTGTAAAGTCAATTTATCCTGACATGAACAGCCACATAAAAAGTACACCAAATTTATGTTTACTCTTTTGAACTATAGAATTGAAATGTATAAACTTTGCTTCAAAATTGTCACAAATTACTATTATTTCTGTATTTATTTTGTGGCCTGAATGGGCTTGCTTAAAGTATCAAAAGCTATATACTAATCAATACAAACTTGTGTCAAAATTGGCAGTAGTAGAATGCTTGTATTAAAGATTGTTAAGACTATTTGTGTTGAGAATTGCATTCTATTGCTTAACAAAGAGTGTTTTTATATCATCATTGCAATATTGAAATTGGCGTTGAAATCAAGCATGTAATTTTAGTCTTGTGAAACCGTAAGCCACCTGTACATTCGTGATTATGGCTCAGCTGACCAATTTTGACATCCCTAAGACAGATGGAACAAAACATTAGACTACACTGTTACAATTGCATCATTTCATTTCAAATAGTGAGAATTCGAGTTGTGCCAGGCTCCTCTTTCCCACCAATGTCAAGTGTTTTGTAACATATCCCCGGCGTGAACGACAGACACAGCAGTTCCTCCTCCTCCTCTCCCCATATGTCTAGAATACAACAGATGCACGTCTTCCTTACCTAGTTTCTTCTGCTCTGCTTGCCATGTGGAAAAACTGATTACTATCGGGGTAAATGACAGATGAGGAAGTTCACATATGGAGTCAATCACACTCCTGAGGTTTATTTATCTGCTGGAGGTAGCGCCTTTTTGATCTTGACAAAAAGGAAGAAAAAAAAGTTTCCGCCATTATAATCATCAAATCCAGGTGTTGGGAGATCTAACGTTTGCCAAGAGTGAAACTGAGACTCCAATAATGACAGCAGAAGGCAGAGGCATTTTCACTTTGTTGTCTTTGGCTTGTGGTAATAGGTTTGGGAGCCATAGCTTTCAACCAGCATGCAAACTAAAGTCAAATCAGATATGGACACCAAAACGCACATGGAAGCTCCAAAAAATTGTGTAATTGCAACTGTAAGGAACTACACCAAGTTAAACACAGGCTAAATGAACCTACTGGAAATATTAAGTTGAGTTAATGCAAATACAACAACAACATTTATAATTGCCACTGTAAGAAACTACACCAAGTCAAACATGTTAAATGAATCTATTAAAAATATCAAATTGTACTAAAGCAAACAGCAAACCAATAGAAATAACTGCAACTTTGACAAGAAATTAGGCTATGTGATGTAAAAATGTTAAGTCCATGTAGATTCTTAAGAAGTTTGAGTAAGCATAACCATTCTACTTGCGTTGATATGAGTTGATAAGATAAAATGAACAGGATGAGGCACCATCTGCACATAACTGAAGCCTTGGGAGATAAGACAAACACACAACCCTAACAAAACACCCATTTTAAAAGTAGACAAATCAAAATTTCTAGTTCAATGTAACTCGCAAACTCTAGCATGTGCGCTTACCTTCTCTCTAGTAGAGTCCACTCTTTAGTCCTGGGTGAAAAACAGCTGCGGTGGTCGGCTTGTGCTTTCTTATCCTGTTCCTTTTTGTGACTCCACGCCTTCATATGTCAGGCATGTGTTTGCATTCCCACATATGCGCGCTCCAGTGCGGCTAGAGCCCGAGCCAGAGACGCAGATGGCACCCAGATGGAGGAGGACAGATAACCCGATCCGCGCTACGTCTACGCACCACACAATCTCGTTTCGATTTCTGACAGTCCTTGACCAAAAAAAAACGACTTCTTGCTTGCTTTTCCACTGCTTCTTTCTTCGCTTTCTTATCTCTCTCTCTCTCTAGACTCGCATCCTCTCTCGTCGCTTGCCGTGCGTATCTCTCCGCGCCCGCACCGCACTCGATCCCACTCGTGCGGCTTATGCTCCGCCCCTTTTCCCACTCACTGTTTTGATGGGCCGGCTGTTCGCGTGACGTACACAGCCCCCCGTAGCGCCGGCCCCTACGTGAGTCCCGGCCAATCGTGACGCGGCGCTCGCTACTTCTTTTCAGACCTGCATTCACCGGCATGGACCCTGCAATTAACATAACTAATTGCCTTGGCACCTAAAGGCTAAACAAGAGGCCGTGCCAAGGGGGACAAAAGCGTGTGCGCGCATGCAAGGCCCCACCCCAACCCCCTCTGGAGAAAAAGGGATCTGTTTTAAATGTTTTCATACTAGCTACACCTCTTTTTCTTTCTTATGCCTTTTTTAAAATGTTGTTTTTTGTCTTATTATCTGAAAAAAAAATTTAAATTTGCTTTTCACGCGTAGAAAATAACGTGAAAAATGTTTGTGCACTGCAAAACGTAGAGGAGTTTGTTCTCCAACAGGCTACGACAGGATTAGATTATTAGATTATACCATACTCCCTACAACTGTACAGCAACTCATCCTTATGTAGCGGATAATACTCCCTACAACTATACAACAATTTATCCTTATGTGGCGGATAATACTCCCTACAACTATACAACAACTCATCCTTATGTAACAGATAATGCTTCCCACAACTGTACAACAGCTCACCCTTATGTAACAGATAATACTCCCTACAACTGTACAATAACTCACCCTTATGTACATATACTCTTTGTTTTTATATTATATTGTGATGTATGAGCTACTGTTTCCAGATAATTTCCCTTGTGGATTAATAAAGTTTGTCTAAGTCTATTTTTTACTCTTTGTAGAAAACCACGTGGGAAAACTCTGAAATAACTGTATTGACGTTCTTGAATAGGAAGTTAGCGTTTGTTGCAAAGCTAGGAGTAATTAAGACGTTAATCAGATTTTAATTAGGCAAGTAGCAATGTAAAGAGCGAGGAAGTGTGAGATTCGACAGCCACTTGGCTTTGTAAACAAACAAGCCTCTGCTGTCAAATTCATTAAACCCCAGACACACTCGGGAAGACCCCTCTTGTTTACTGACACTATTTGGAGTTCCTCTAATTAACTCATTGCTAATATTGAAGTCAAGTACTAAACACCTCAGCGCAGACTACTCCTCAGCCAGCCAGGGAGATTGAATTTATGGGACCAAGTGGTAACAGCAGTGATAGAGCCAAACCGGTGTAATTCATAGGCCTGTTAAGCAATCATCATATTAACAAATGTATTTTATTCACATTAAATACTCTGGTCTTCTTTATAGATGCAATGTTTGAGCTGTGCACCATTACGTTTTATATATAGCTACATGTATTAGCTATATGTGGCAATAGACAGAAGCCCACATATCATATAACATAGTAAATATATCAGTATAATTTTGAATAGATTCACTTAAACGGTGTGTACTACTGTGTCCAAATTGTCATGAATAAAAGCTTGAAGTTGTTGCATTATTATCTGACTTTCAAAACTCAAATTTCTTATTTGACTTTATAATCTAAAATTGAGAATTAACTTCTTGTAGCAAGCAGCCAAAACATGTCAACAAGGTAAATAAATTCCTATAATACTGTCTTTAAAAAGAATCCAAGAAGTAAGTGAACAAAAGAAGTCTAAATTAACGTTTTTGGATTAATAAAATTGAGAAGTTGATTAGATTTACTTCTACTACTTTCACACAATTTCTTAATAGAGATTGTTTCTGTTATTAAGTCAATTTCCAAATAATTTTCTTTTTAAAATGTAGAAATTTGCACTAAACAAGACAACACATAAACATTTCTATTACACAATTTCTCATTGCTACATACAGTATTATGGATTATCATCTTGCTTTCCAAAATACAGTACATTTCTAGGTCACTATTCTTTGCCAAAAATCAGATTTGGCAAAATAATCATCTTTAATATCATGTAGTCTCTCCAGCTGTCCCTCCTTGCCTTTCTGTATTTGACTTTTCAAACTAAAAGGAGGAGTTGAGGATACTTTTTCACAGAATTCCTTAATGCATCATAACAATGATTGGTTCAGTTTTCCAGTTTCTACCCTCATAATTTCTATCCCCATGCATTTCTTTCAAACAAGTACAAATCTGCACACAAATATAACTGCTAAACTATTGCACAATTTCTTATGTTTTACCACCTTGCTTTCCCAAATACCTTTCTAGGTCACTATGCCTTGCCAAAGATCAGATCTGACTAAATAATCATCTTTAATATCCTCTACTCTCTCTATCTCCATCTATCCCTCCCTGGTTCTCTCTCTCTGCTCGTCGGCTTGCCCTATTCAGTGTGCATCTGGTCGGGCAGCAGGCTCAGAGGAAGGCCAGGTGGCGGAGAGCTGTGGGGAGGGGAAGGGGGGTTGGGAGGGCGGAGGGGGGTACTGGAGACACGAGCGATTCAGGGCTTGTTGTATCCGATGTTGTGTACGGGGCTACTGTTATTCACACGCTATTGAGACGTGCTCTGAAAGTGACACCGGAGTTGGACAAAAGCCAGGCGGGCGCTGATTTAAACCAAGAGCAGAGTAGAGCAGTGGTAGCAGTCGTAGCATTCCTGTTTAAGTCCCCCTTCCCGGTATAGGGGGTAAAAATAAAGTCCTGGAGGTCACTGTAATGGTTATAGTGGTGGGTCTGGGGACTCCAAATAGTGTATGCAATTTTAACTCATTTGTGTATTGTTTTCCTTGATACATTTTGAACTGAATTCTCAGTTGAAGGTGCATTTTGTATCAATAAAATGCATGATTATAAGTATTTTTATGCATTAAAGGTTCTCTGTGTAACTTTCCAAGTGGGGGGTCTGCCACAGGCTTGTCTCCATGGAGATGATACTGAACATATCCAACTTGCATTTGTTCAATTACAAGTGCATTATTGCTCAAAAATACCTTACCACATCAGGATCTGGCCTGGTAACATAATCTCCATGGAGATAGATAAGTGTAATGCCATACTGTGGAATATTCCAGGCAAATCGATAACATCCCCATGGTTACAAGCCAATGGCAGACCCTCCCCCACAAAAGTTACAAGGCGCACATTTAATAATTCAGGATAATGTTTTGCTTTCTAAATTGAGCTTGAAAAAATAAAAATTAAAAATAAAACTAGTAAAAAATAACATATTTCACACATCTGAAATATAACTGCAGCACAGAATGTTAGTATATTGTGTGTACCAAATAAGCTTTAACAATAAACAGAATTATTTCATCTCAAAATGAAATGACACTGAAAATACTTTAATTAATTGGAGTTGGCAGTTATGTGACACATTTTATTTGAACATTGTTATTTGAAGTCTTGCATTTTACAAAAACATATTTTACAAAGAAACGTTCTGGTGTGCTGTGATTTCAATCGTTTCAGTGTGTTTCCAGGATGAAAACATAAAAGTTTTGAGAAGAAGGGAGCATTGCACATATGTGTGTCGCTGTGCGTTTACAGCATAAGCCCCTCACAGCTGTTTGCCATTGTACTGCATGTGTGAGAGATACAGAGAGGCAGAGACAGCACAGAGCCCCAGTGTACAGCATCTGTTTCTGTTCACACGCTCCCCGCCAAACTTCCACTTTTAGCAAAAGTAAACAGCATGTTTAGGGGAGGGACCAGGAACATGGGATCATAGGACAGGACCATGGTGGATACAGAGAATAGACTTTTTGGTATCATATATGTTGATCTATAGGTCACTGGAGTTCTAAAAATATATCAGTTGGTCAGTGGATGATTAAATTAATACATTAGGAATTAAAGATTCGCCAGCTGAATTGTATTCTTTAAAAGCTGCTTTTCCAAATCAGTGTATCAGTGTGACATCAATAACATCTTCACCCCCTAATGTGTTTATCTAATCATTTATATTAAAGGTGCACTGTGTAACTTTTCTAATGGAGGGTCTGTCACCTACTTGACGTCATGTAGATGTTATGGTTTTTGCTGTTTGTTCTACAGTATGGCATTAAATTTAACTATCTCCATGGAAACAAGCAGCCACATCGCCAGACCAAGTTACAGGTCAGATCTGTAGAGAGGCGGGTCTGCTCCCAGTAATAATGCATGTGTTTTTGTGGTCTTTCTGATATAAAAACTCCTATAATTGAACATTGTACATGCATAATATATCTGTTTATTGCCATATACTGCAATAACATCGCCATGGAGACAAGTAGATGGCGAACCCTGGACCAGAAAAGTTACACTATGCACCTTTAAAGGCACATTACCTAATCTTCCTACAGGCTATAGCTACACTGAAAAATCTTACTCCATGTTTCCATCTAAAACGAAAACGGCTCCTCTGTAATCATACCTGTGCCGTTGGATGTCATTTGCACACATAAGCCTGGCGCATTCACATTTACCAACTCAGCCTAGTCTCTTTGTGAGTTAGTGCTTTCTTTACTGAACAATGAAGAGGTGAGATTAGCATGACAATAGAACCATATATACAGGCTAACAAGGCAAAGCAACGCACGTGGTCTCAAGGTCTGTCGCTTTACTGATTTCAATAGTCAACTGGTAAATATAATGAAATGTTGCAGCAAACCAGTGAATACATTATTATATAGACATACTGTGCTTGAGACTGCTATATAGTTATAATGTACGACACCCAGAGATCATTATGTTCTAATTTCCACTTATATACATCTTAAACATCTTAAAAAAAGAAACAAGTCAGCTGATTTCTGTGTTAAAAAACTGTGATGCCCAATGGGAACTGACAACGCTGTAAATGTCATCACAACAACGAGTCAGCACCTCCAGTAGATAGCTGCAGATCACGTAAGCCAGTACCGGATATTTTTTTCATTTGTTCCAAAATGACAGCCGAATCCTACGTGTACCAAAAGAAAATAGAATTGGAGATGAAAGAGCAGTGGGTGTATGCTGATGGGAGTGAAAATGGGGCTTGATCTGCAAAATA